TGTATTGCTTTTGTAACAACGTTGAACAAAACTATCCCAAGCGTAAGGTATTCTATATTCTATTTCCGTATTTTCTACATTATTTACATTATTCGGAGTATTGTCCTAATCTTTGTCGCCATATTTATTACAACGTTGTACGCTCAGGCCTTCTTCAAGTGGTTGGAATGTCGAACTGAACCCTTTATTTCGCTCACTAGGGTAGACTGTTCTAGTTCCACGTGCCATGTCTAATGGATGTCAGTTGTCAGTTATCTCCTGTTAATTCCCTCTCCAAGTTCTCTACTACCTTAACCAGGTATTGAACTCACGCTCTTTGGGTCCTTTCACTGGATCTAACTAACCCCTTTATCCACTGTGCCATGCATCTCCTGCACTAAATTTGTTATAACTGATCGATAGACTATGGTATTTGAAGTGTTTAGTATTCTTTATTCGACAAACTGAATTTTTAATGATGGATTCAATACATGACATTGCACTTACTCAAGGCGATTACGTTACTTGTGACGATTGTCATAATCACACACATACATACATACTCATGCAAATTCAAATTCTAGAACCACAAGCATTCATTGGATAATAAATCAACACTATTGTGTAATGCGACAATTTTATAATTGCTATATTTTCATGTAGTCGATTTCGTGCACTTTTGGAAGAATCGGATCCCAGAAGCGTTTCCCGAGTCTCCCCAAAGCTCGCTCACTGATTGGTCAATGACAACCAATCAGATTGTCTGCACGTGAAGAGTGATTCTTCCCGCGCAGAGATTTCGGAGCCGATGATCAACTATATAAGCAAAGAAAATTCTTAGTAAATCAGTGAGATCTCAGCTGCCACAGAAATCCACGACAGTTGAAACCATGCGCCAATCTTCTCACTCAAGCCACCACTCACATGCTGAATATTCCCTATACTCACATAAACTTTTTTTTTTACACGGCAAAACTGTTGAAACATTTATTACCAGAAATTATTACAATCTTAATGCTTTCAGTGAACTTTGGAACAATTGATAGTTAAAGAGAGATAACTCTTGTTTTACTCAATGCATGCCTTTCTTTCATATCTTTGTTTGTACATCTTGGTAAATATAAATTTTATATGTAATGATGTCTTTGGCTTATCCTCTTTTTCTTCACGTCAGTTTGGTTTCCTAATCTAAGTTAAATTAATGGGGTGAAGTCCGCCACATACTGACTGCTTGAGTGAATGTTTAACGATGGTCTTCTTTAAGAATTGAGAAATGTTTGATAACGATGCTGTATGAATATTAAAAAATAATATTCCTTTTTTTTGTTATTTTTTTCAGGTCCTTTTTTACTTCCTAGACAATTTTTGTTTGTTTACTTTTTTCTTTCCAGTTTGTAACTTTTACACGTCTTTCAATTTTTTTTTTTTTTTGGTCTGCTTTTAGATTGTTATTGTACTAACGATAAATGCGAAGGATATTAAAATAATCAATTAACTTATACTGGGGGAAAACCGCCTGAAAACAGATGACGAGTGGGTTCAGAAAGGGGTGTAAGACAAGGATATGTCTTCTCACCGGACTTATTCAAACTATTCAGGCGATTCTGAGAGAATTAGAGATCCTTCCAGATTTCATTATTAACGGCCACAATCTTAACAACATAGGATATGCCGATGATATAGTGTTGATAGAAGACACGGAATGAAAACTACAAAACCTCCCTACAGAATCTAGTGAAAAAAAACGAAAAGAAAGGATTAAACATCAACTCTAAGAAGACATAATTCATGGTTCTTAGCAAAGAGACGGACCCAAAGTGCGAATTGCGAGCCAAAAATGTGAATTCCAAATCGGAGAATTTAAAGTTTCGCTTTTTAATTTTTTAATCGGGCATCAACATTTGCAATGATTTAAGAATAAGACGTCACAGTAAATATATGAAGCCGATATAAATCATGCCGCCTGATAAAACCATTTACGGGAAAGAATTTGATATACTCTTCAAAATCAAACAAGTCCAAGAATTTAAATACCTTGGAAGTATTCTAACAGAGAACAGAAAGTGTGACACTGAAATCCGAGGTTGTATTGGGATAGAGAAAGATGCCTTCCAAAAGTTAAGCAGAATATTAAGAAATAAAAAAATATCTTCGCTAGAAACAAGGAAAACAGTACTGAACTCTTACGTGATATCTGTCCTGCTGTATGGCAGTGAATGCTGGACAACTTCCTCAAAGATGAAGAAGAGACTTGAAGCAACAGAAATATGGTTTTACACAAGGATGCTGAGATTTCCATTGACCGATTATGTGAACAACGACGAAATTTGAGAGGAAAATGGAAACATCAGGAAGAGGCAGTTGAAATTTCTACGGCAACCAAGGAGGAGAGAAGGATTGGAAAACCTGATACTCACATGAGAGATTGAAGGTAAGAGGGAAGGAAGAAAATAATGCATAACATGCTCAGTGAGCCCGAGTAAATGGATAGCGGAACAGGTTTTAGGAGAAATAGCAAAAAGACAATATTTATTAAGAGTTATACAAAGGACAGGAAAACGTGGGGAGCCATGATCGCCTACGTTAAAAAAGTCAACAATCTGGATCCCCAATAAAGATCACCCCCAGCCAGATTTAAACCTGTATCCCTTACCTTGGGAGCTGTTAAGCCGTAGATAAGATAAACCACTTTCCTTTAAGTGTTGTTAGTCCAAATCTTAGCAAGGTTTAATTCCTTATTTCAGATCCACGTTATTTATTTAACAATCGTAGAATAACAACATAAGAGTTTGAATAAAATACAACAGATAAAAAAATACCTGACAAAATTGATAATATTTTCTCTGTTCATATTTAACCCTGTCGTGAAAATTGTTCACTGCTGACCGTACAATAGATATATTTCTGAAAAGGGCCCCGAAATACCGCATGGATGTTACCAATTGGTGAGTAGCATTAGGTTCCTGTGTGCAAGAAAATATGAAGTAACTTTACTGTATAGTAAAAATGTAAAGCGTAAAATCAGCCACAGAAAACCGATGTAACTAATTTTCGACTCCATTACTGTTTACTAACATTTTAAGCGACTTAATAGAATTAAACGCCAAAACCTCTTTAGAAGAACCTCCTTACAACAAAATCCAAACGAAATTTGAGCAAATTAAATTTCATTCATCATTCTCAAGTGATCTGAGAGAACAGTTTATGGTTGTTGTTTTTTTTTTGTTTTGTTTTGTTTTGTTTTGTTTGTTTTTTGGGGTTTTTTTTTGGTTTTTTGTTTTTTTCATTCAAAATTGTATCAGCCTGCTTGAAATTTCTTGCCTGGACTTTGTTCACTTCGGATTATTATATGCTTTTTCCTCCGGAAATACTGAATTCATTTCGCAGTAATAAACGTTATTTCGCCTTGCTTCAGCTGAAAGAAAATCCATTTAATTCAAATTTTAATTTCCTCAGTCTGTACAGAAAAAAGCTATTTCGTCTGTTTCAATATGCCTGAATCTTTCC